CGAGGGTCTGGTTAGGTTGAAAGTAGGCAGATCTAGTTTTAGAGGATCCCCAAGAATGACCCAATAGAGTAGAGAACCTGATGGTAAAAAAAATGCAGCTTGAGACCAGGTAAACTAAACTATACCGGTATAGTGAGAGTTTCATGATTTGGGTCGAAATTAAGAGACCACTTGAGTAACTTCATTGATTTGCCTTCGATATTAAGATATTTCTTGGAGAAAATCCTGGTGTAGTCTTCAACCACTGTTAGTTGAATCAACACATGTCTCTTATCCATGAGTCCCACTTGCCACTTGTCTGCTAGCTTAAGATCATCAACATTTTTTCTGATAATATCTATAGGAGGGTGTCCCCACTGAAATTTTCCAATAAGAGTAAACTTGAATTTTTCCGTCAGAGTAGAAATTTCTGATTCAGAGAAAAAGATTGCTTCTTTTCCACCTTTCCTGCTCCCCTTCTTAATAAAAGGACAATCGTCAGTACCCTCGCGAGATTCCTTATAACTTGAAAGAAATCCCACTGCGAACACTACTTGGGGGTTACCCACTACGTGGGCAAAGGAGACTTTATCCGGCTCCACCATATAAATAAATGCCATCAGAGGTCAGAGGACCTGTCAGGCGGACACAGAAGCGGCAGCGACGAAGCCGAAACAGACGCAGGAGCGCCGAAACAGATAACAACGGGCGCAGACGACGCGATATCGAGCAACGCCGAAACAGACGGAGACGACGAAGAGATATCGAGTAGTGTCGAAACAGACGGAGACGACGAAGCTCGAGCAGGTGTAGCGCTCCTTACGCGTTAATATCAAAAAGAATGTTACAATAAGTTAGTGGGAAACGCGGATCCCCGCTAAAAATAAAAAAAAACATAAAATCCTAGGAGTTCCATTTTCTCAATATAACTCCACCCAAAAAAGGAAAATTGCTAGAATAAAAGTAAAATTAACCTAAATATACATGTATCAAACCAAAACATATACCCAAAAAAGTGATGTATATCCTCTATGAGCATATATATCAAAAGAAACAAAGATAATATAATCTGTATGCCAACAAACGATATCTCGAAAGCAGGAAATCGCAGCATGACTCAAAGAGTCCAAAACCTGCAACTCAAAAAGACTGAAGAAACAGTAAAGAAAGAATAAATCCAAGTGGTTAGAATAGAAACAGTGGTCCTCGTTCCTCCAACCCCCCAAACAGAAAAGACAATCCAACCAGGCCTAAAAAGCCCACCCGTAAAACTAGTCCTATTGTTGTATTCCCTAAGTGTCATATCTCCAATATACAACCTCCAAACCATCATCACAAATGTAGCAAAGGATCCCTGGGCCTCCATGCTTAAAATATAAAACCAAACAAAAACACCCAACACAGTCCCCCAGCCCGTAACCAGAGAAATTCCCCAGCACCACAACCACAACCACCAACAAATAGGGAGCCCTGGGCCTCCCAAATAAAAACAGATGCACCCAACACAGCTCCTCAGCCTGTAACCCGAGAAAACCCCCAGCTCGCCAACCACGGCCAGCAACCAATAGGGAGCCCTGGGCCTCCCAAATAAAACACAACAGATATAGCAAAGGAGTCTTGGACCTCTATTCCAATGATAAAATACCCTTCATCACAACAAACAAAATGATAAATAGCCATATTCCCAGAGCACTGCACCTCCAAATTACCCAGAAATGAGTGAGTGAGAGAGAAGTCCAGCCTAATTTAAACATGGGCCGATCCAAGCCAGTCGGCCACCCATAATTCATCAAGATGAGACATTTGTACGAATAAAAGGAGCAACAATATTATCACCAACCAACAAAGTATAAAGAGTAGGGGGAGTAGCTCCCACCCTACAAATTTGATTAGAGCCACCGAAATTAGCAAGCCAATTCGCGGGTTGATTACCCTCCTGATAGATAAAACTCCATATAACATTCATATTAAAAACTGACCATTTAATCCTCCTAATATAATAAAGAATATCCCATGGGGTGTCGGCACCAATAGTTAAAATATCAATCAAGATACGATTGTCACATTCAAAAATAATATACTTCCAATTGAGAGAATGAGCTAATAATGCAGCAGTTAAAATAGCTCGAGTCTCAGCCTCAATAGGGGAGTCCGCATAAGGAGAAAAGAAGAAGAGTATACACTTTCTGTGGTGATTCCTAGCAATGCCCCCACATCCAGCACTAGAGACTTTCCAACTCCCAATATTAAATTTAATCCACCCTCTAGGGGGTGGAGTCCATTTGACCAAGGTAGGTGGAGGCAGGAGTTTCCTTACCTCCAAATTCGTATGCCCCAAAGCAAGAAAATAATTAATTCCCGAAAAGAAAGCTTATTTGGAATTCCCAAATCTCCATAATTTATTAATGTAAGAAATGATATTAGTGAAAACCATCATTTTGTGAATTTCCTTACCCTCATGAATAGTATCGTTCTGAGTCATCCAGATAAACCAACAATGATATAAGGATAGATTTGTCAAAAGTGTTTCTTCTTACAGTTCGGATTGCAACTCAAGGTGGTGAGAAAAAGATTCCTCTCAGGAGAAATAATAGTACCAAACCATAACCCAGCCCTCCAAATAAATAAAGAAAAGGGGCATGAGAAAAAGGTATGTTCAATGGTCTCCTCCGCCATAAGGCACAAGCAACACCTGGAGGCTATTCTCAAACCTTTCATCTTAAGAATATCACCACAAAGTATGATAAAATGAAAAATACACCAAGACAAGAAAGACATCGACGAGGTTAAAGCTCAACTCCACACCCCCTCTCCCCAAGGGGTGTTTCGAAAATTATAACGAGAAGCATATAAGGATTTAGTAATATAGCTCGTCATGGGTAATTTCAAATAAGGAGTATCATGCAGATGATGATCAAACTTGAAGCAAGGGCACCTTAATCTAGTGGCTGATAACCCTTTATTACAAGGGTGAAAAGCAAGTTCAGGGTTCTCATTCACCGACTCCCCTCATTGCTCGCCAGCTTCCTAGTCCACCTCTCTCTCTCTCCATTTCCACAAAAGGGCTGTGGCGTGGCATTTCACCTTCTCTGCCTCTAACTCAAAGAGCCTAAAAAGTGATGACTATTAAGGAGGATGATTTCGAAGGAAAGTGCTTTCTTTTCACATCCTTCATGGCATGTTAGTTATCAGTATTTATTTTTTAAAATTTTGCATTCAAGGTTGGTTTCCGTTCATTCAGTTTTAAATTCCTTTACTTTGGGCTCTGCATGCAAGTGTTGTAAAGGAAATAGAGATTTCTGAGATAAAGGGTGCTGCGTAGGTTTCAAGCATTACACTAAATCATCTTTCAGAACCTTCAAACAATTCAAATAGAAATTGAATAAAATTATTGAAATTGGCCAATTTCTTAAGCAATTAAATGATTTGATCGGTTAATAACCACCAAGCAATGCAGATATATCCATCAGGAATCAAATTTAGGGAAGAGTGATCAACAGGAAGAAATAGATTTTGTCAAGGAAAATTGTACGGAAGGACACGAGACTTTTGTTGATACAAAATAAACTTTTCTCCTTCATCAATAATTTTTTTTAAGTTGCTGATTCTGAGCCATTGTTCATTTTATCAGGATGAAATAACATTATATCAAATTTCGATTGCATCATGACTGATACAACTTAATCTAATTAATAAAAACTTGTAACTCATTAAAACCTTTAGTAAGCAATTTTTTATGAAATATCATTACCCCAGAAAACTTATAATACAATATGGTTGAGCCAACTCAAAGTGGATTCAAGCTAACTAGACGTCTGTTTAATTCATGCAGGGTTAATCCAAGTCAACTAAAATTCATTTTGAGTTTGAAATCAATGTTTTTCAATCAGATTCAAATTGAAATGAAATACATTTTAATTTTGAATGAGTTTAAGTCGACCTGAAAGACACTTATTTTTAATTGGAGTTTGGTCTGACTAACTCAAAACTCGACTGTTTGCAAACCATTGCTTCTGCTGAAACTCATCATTGTATGTTAATAAACTAAATAATACTGATTTCATGATATATATGATAGAAACAAGAAAGAATCCCTTATTTGAAGAGCCCCTTTTTGCGGAGAATTGGCACAGTATACCCTCTTATGAAACATCATACCACCGGTCCACCAGCATATTAGACAGTGGCTTCTTTTGGGGCCAGGATTATAGAAACAAATTCATTACGTTATTATGTGCCTTTATAAAGGAAAAATAAAACATGGAAAGCGCTGATAAAGCTGCTCAACAAAAAGTTCAAAGACTGATTAAACTACCGATTTTAATACATATGATTAAGATTCTCAGAAAGTATACGCAGAAGTTACAGATGAATCAGAGGAAAATAACTCACAGTAGGAATTTTGAGATATCCACTTGGAGCAAGGTGTTCCTGCAGTTCAAAACTTTAAAGTTAGAACCCAGCATTAAATTTAGAAACTATTTAATAGATATTGTTTTATAAATCCGAGAAGAATCATCCTTGTACTAAGCAGTTGTATCACAACATTTCATTTACCTAACCTCTTTTATGAAGTTCAGAATTAACTTACAAACCTGCACATAATCACTGTAGATCTCAGCCTTAATGAGTGCATCAACAATCACGCAGAAAATTCCTGACTACTTAAGAACAAACAACAGTAAACTTAGTCGTAGTAAAAAAAAAAAAGAGCCAGTAAAATAACTTGATAAAGCAAACACTAGAGGATCTACTGTAATTTTCCTCGGATACAGCGTAACGTTTAGCATAGAGTTAGCAATTATTTTGTATCAGGTTTGGATATCAAGTTATCAGAATGGAACTTTTTCCCCTTCATCAACTCTCAGATTTGGATACAGCCAGAGCAGAATTCCTGCCGCTATCTATGCAACTTAAAACAGAAAACATTACAAAGACATAGCTAGCGTGTACCAGCAGGTGCCATAACCACAGATTAAATTTTTTTTTTCTCTTTCCAGGAGGTGAAGAGATTAAAGTGTTCATCATGTAGAGCTTACATAAGCTTCACTGTAAACTATTGCGCAGGATAGTGAAAACACTAAATTTGTATAAGAATTCACGAAAAAAAAGGCTATACAATCACATTTGGCATTTCTATTTTAAATTATTACAAGCATTATAATAAATGAAACAATTCTAGAATTTGACTATCTTGACAGGGAATTAAAGCATTTGATTAGAACGCAAACAACAAAATCAAATTGTATGAAAAACTAAACACAAAAGAAGACTTACGCCACAAAGTGGTACCGAAGCAGTGCCAGCATGCGGGCCACCCAAGGAGAGGAAATTTTCAACCTGTAGAAAATTATTATTATTCAAAAGCAGTATAAAATTATATTTGCAGAAGTATCATGAATGTATGAGAAAATTTTCAAAAGTTAACATTGCTTAAAAAACATGAGAATAGGAGCAAATGAGAAGAAAAAAAACGGTATGCAGTAAGCAAGCAAAAAAAAAGGCCCAAACTTACAAGAAATCTCAAACAGGCCAGTGAAGGCCTCTTAAAAGAAGAGATTGCCCTAAGAGGCATGATAACTAGTCAAGGGTTTCACAAGTAACCTACAAGCTTATCCAAGGAAGAGAACACTTGCCCTGTTAATTACTTATAATTGTTAAATTTTTGTACCTAATATACTACAATATCTCTTAACTGCAAAACTATTATTTTGTTTTTCCTTGGGAAATTTATGTATTATTTACTACAGTGAATGTAAGGGCAAGCTCCTTCTGATGCATTTTAACTGAACCAACCGAGATTGATGCTCCTAATTTATATTTTTAAATACAAATTGTCAAAGACACAACCAAAAATAGAATACGCAAAAAAGATTAAATAGCAAGCATTGCCATTACTTCTCTCTCTATCATTCTATACAACTTCACCACTCCAAGATGGGATGAACACAACTTTTTTCCGTAGTTAAAAAGAGACATGAACGGCAATTTTCCCATTATAAGACAATCAAAACCAAAAAGAGACGTGAACAACAAATTTTCCCATTATGAGACCATCAAAACCATAAACACGGCAAAACCATAGTGCAAGCTAAGTTGGCTTAGCCAGACCCAAAGCCTTATTATAGCACAGCCAGAGTTCAGTTTGAGTCATATATAAAAATAGGATCAAATCAACATGTGTGCACACGTGATTGATGGAGAAATAAGCCATCGGGAGCTATGATCTAAATGATTATGCATTTTCCAAGCATTTTAGTACATTTATTCCCTAAATATGCATGAATCTCATTCACAAGAGCACAAAAAGCAATACCTGCTCAAGGAATGTGAAAAAAATGTATTAACATTAGAAAAATAATCCACTATTTCATGGGAATATTCCAATAGTCCATCTCTTCTCTAGGAAATAGCCAGGCCTGATCATACTATCGTAAATAAACTATATTCGTAATCTTACTTATTTTTAGGACACTTATGAGCTTAGTCGATTGATGTGCATATTAAAGCTTCAAGAGAACTTAATATATAAATAAGTTGATAACTTAAGAAATCAACTGCGGTAGCTACTTTAATGGAAGAAGATAGGGCCACTTAAGAAAAAAGGGGTTGGATTTAATGCAATAAAAATTTATAAGCTTAATAAATTCATTACTTCATTTATTTGATTGTCCGTCCCCAGTTTTGTACTGCTAGTCCTCCCAAAAGTTTATGATTTATTAACCAGTATCGTTGATGACCTCCATCAAGCTCTGCACCACTTACTCCAGAGACGCTACAACAAGCCTCCATCATGCGTTCCGCTCGAGTCTAAGTTCTCAATCCTTGTGATAAATTGACAAGCTGAGCTCTAATTCATACTAAGGGCTCGAAACGAGCTCAAACTCAAGTTCAAGCTGTTTTTTTTTTACGAATGAGTTGAGCTCGAGTTCATTGTACTCGAGCTTAACTCAATTCGTTTGCACCCCCAATTTCAATTTAGAAAAAAATAGGGCCGGAAGGATTTCAACCTGGAATAGAAAACTATTGCGGGTGAGACCCCGACAGAGAGCTACATCCAACCGCACCATTGCCTATTGTTGCAGCAACCACCAGGCGGAAGGCAATTCTGGAACTTATGAGAGGAGAGCTGATTATGGGGCACACCAAACTTATGGAAGAAGAGAAATCAATATGGGTAGAGGAATAGAACTCAACCCCTATTTAATGGGTCGAATGAAATTTGATCAAGGAAATTGGGGAGGAGACTTACGCATGAGGAAGTTGAAGAAGCTGATCTTTAAAACAGATGATGCTTATGGTTGGGTTTGTCGTGTGGAGAGATGCTTTGTTGTTAATGGGCTGACGGAGGAAGAAAAATTGATGTCAGTGGCTTTATGTTTGAAAGGAAAGGCTCTAACATAGTATCAATGGAGAGAGTAATGTCAGTTAGTGCAAACATTAGAAGAATTAAATATTTGATTGTTCGAGCGCTTCAGAACCAGACGGGAAGGGGATTTAAATGAGCAGTTTTTTGCATTGGTCCAAGAATGATCAGTGATGAAGTATAGGGACAAATTTCAGATAATATTGAGATATCAGAAGACAAGTTGGATGGCAACTTCATAGAAGAGTTAAAGTCAGATATTGCAATAATTGGGGGAAACTATGGAATTAACACAATTGATTGGAGATAAAAATTCAATAAAGAATGTTGTAAGGAGTGGTGCAAGTGAAGCTTCATACCAAATTACTAAAACCACAACAATACCAAAGCTTAAATAATGAAAGTCCAGAGGAAGGCTCTGCAAGATAGGAAAAAAATGCCACGACCGAGGGCAACATTCAAAGCCTTACAGAGACAGATTCAGAAAATGCAGACTAAGAAGTTATGTTTTCAGAGTGATCAGAAGTTTTCTTCAGGGCATTATTGCAATGATCAACATTTCAGATTCTCACAGTATTTGACAAGGAAGCAGGAGATGAAAAAAAAAGAAAATGTGGTAGTGGAGGAAGAACATCCTCACTTAGATATGCCAGAAGTCTTATTGAACTCGATAGTAAAATTAACACCGAACCACAATACAAAACTTCAGGGGTAGATTGAAGAGTAGTACGTTGTGTTGATAGATAGTGAGGTCACCCACAACTTCATCTTTACTTAAATAGTGAAGCAATTGGGGCTTGAGATGGTGGGCACAAGAACTTTAAGTCATATGGGAACAAGACAGGTGGAGAAGAGCATGGGAGTCTGTAAAAGAGTGATTTTAACACTATCAAACATTCAGGTGATTGAAAATTTTCTTCCATTGGATTTAGGGAGCACTGGCGTGATATTGGGTATGAAATGGCTCTAATATACTGGGGAGACTAAGATGAATTGGAAACTTTTGACCATAGACTTTCATGAGAGAAATAAGACAGTAGTGCTTCGTTGTGACCCTAGTTTGTGCAAGACCCAGGTGTTAGCGGATCCATCGAAGGTGGCGGATAGCTTAGAGGGGTCACCTAAGACCTAGATGAGGTTGAAAAGGTTTATAAGACTTACAAAATACTAACGAAAGTTCATGAAGGGTAATAATTCGATTGTATAATCGTGGAAGAAAAAATTGAAGAAGGATAACTTTTAGTGGGGGAAAGTGATGATCCAGATTTTTAAGAAGTTGGAGAAGGCCATGACGAGTGTATCAATGTTGAAGGCAAGAACCAGACTCAAGACAACTTATGAGCGGGAGATGTGACTTAACCCAATAGCACTTTTTCCCACCTTGAGAACAATTTAATATTTTGGGAGGAAAGTATTGTTACGTCGGTGCTTAGCCTAAAGGCAATTGTGTCTCTTATTAGTCTAAGAGCAATTTAATATTTTATTATTTGTTATTGTTTGGTATAAATAGGGCTTAATAGTTTAGGATTATGATTATGTATGAGATTATTGTTATGAGTCTTGGAACTGGAGTTTGTGAGAGATTTCCTACCTCTCAAATTTTAGGAATTGAGAGAGATCTTCTACCTCCCAGACTGTATCTTTGTATTTGTGTTGAATGTTTAATATTCTAGCTAGAAAATATGTATTTTTTCTAATTTCTATAAAAAAAATCATCTAAGATCCTATCAGACTCATCCTCTTGTCGAAGTTTAGTAGATTCACCTTAACTCTCAGATCACTGTGCCCTCCAATAGGCATTAACTCTATCAGTCTCCTTTGATATTGATTTTCGAGATTGCTTAGGTTGATCTTCCTCTTCAGTGAATTCATCCCTACGAATGGAGTTCAATTGTTCTTCTTGTTTCATCCGCAGATCTCGCTATTAAGGTTAACCGTGACCTCGCTCATGTCCTTTCCTCAATGGCCTCGACCATTGTAGTAATTGGTTGAATATCTGTTGCAAGTCGCCCATGGTAAAATCTTGATCAGGTTTCAACAGTTGCCTTCTCTGCGGCATGGTTAGGGTTTAGTGGTAGATGGGTGGAAGGTGTGTAGGTTGGGAAAAGAAAATTTTTGGGTGGTAGTGATAGGTTTGGGTATGGCGGATGCTAGAAACCGTAGAATATGACTATGATTAGGCTAGCTCTGATACCAAATAATATCAGAGTTAAACCAAACAACAATAAATAACAAAATATTATTAATTGAAAAAAATCACTGGGCAGTACAACGACCCACTGAAAGAAAAACAACAATAATGACACAACAACCCTAACTAGAGTGATATCACGACGGCAAAAGGTGGTTGTAGTATAACAGTGTGACAGAGTACAGGTGAGCACAAGGGTTGGTAGTTGGTTTGCAATGGGTTGAAGGGGGAAGCAAGTAGCTGCGGATAGGGGGCTAGGAAGAGTAAGAATGTAGTGGTGAGATGCTGGTTAGGCAGGGCAGGGAGATGTTGGTTGATGGTAAGGTGCAGGTAAGGAGGGAGGTTGCGGCATAACAACAGAAGAGTCTTGGAAGCAAGCCAGTATGGAGCGTGCAGTGAGGCATGCGGCCAGTAGAAGGAAAAGGGGCGACAAGCTAGAGGAGAAAAGAAGTGGGAGGAAGGTTGTGGGGATCCAGGGAACAAAAGAAATACACCACTTTATTATGAGTGACAGTTGGAGCACTATCTTGTCATCGATTACAACCCTCGGAGAAAAAACTGGAGACGCCAAGCTCTCTCTATAGGAAAAAAAAACATACAATAACCCTAAAATACACAAAACATCAAAAAAATACTATTAAACAACTTAATCAACCTCACCCGAAACATTTAGAGCAAGAAGTCCAATGACCACTTGACCTTGGTCATCTACCACCTACTTGCATAAAGGATGACATATATGGCTCTCAACTCCGGTTGTAAATAAATATAAAACATTGCTTT